TGGCCCGTCCCTCGGGACGTTCTTTAAAAACTGGAGTGGAGCTTCCCAGTTCCTGGGTCGGGACTATACCTCTACGACCAATGGTGAACTTCTAGTGCCGGCTTTACTTCTATCTGCACCTATTATTGCTTCATAATTTAAACGGATTGTAAATGAAGTCCTCGAAAATTCATCTTAAAATGTTTGCTTCCTTGACATTTTATGTCAACATAACTAAGTTTAATCAATTTTATTGTATTTTTATTGTACTTTATAAAAGTAACTCAAATTCAGGTAAGGCACCTTTAAAATAAATCCCATCTTCATTGCCATTAAATAAGCTTTTAAGAAAGGATTAATCACTCGCATATTTTGTTGTCATATTTCGAAAAATTACAAACGAGAACTTCATATTACTTCCCAGAGACAAAAACCCAGGAGTTCATAACAGAATAGAAAATGGGCGGAAGGAAGTAAAAAAATTCAAAGGACTTTCTGGAATATCAGAAACAAATGGGAAAGAAAATGTTAATAGATTTACGTTCCTTATGCAACATTTTACGTATTATCATTCTTTATGTGTTTCATTAACTCATATAATTACATTATGAGTCAAGTAATTGTGAGCAAAGAACTAGTTTCTGTTTTCAGAGTTTTGGATCTTAAGCCAATGATGCTGAGACTTCTGTGAACTTACAAGTGGGTATTTATACTCGTACTAATTAGTATTTATAACATTTAGGTTTTCAGCTATCTTTTATTTATTTATTTATTTATTTTTGAGAGAGTAAATTTTTTAAAGGAGCACGTTTTCCTAAATTTCCGTAATTCAAGTCCGCTATTATAATTAAACAGAAAACACATAATATAAATTGTTTACAAAGAGAATCACTTTATATTTTCACCCAGTTTTAGTACTGAATAAATCTATATACTTTTAAAAACGATTAGACTGTTACTTAGAGAAGAAGTAACTTTAAAGTTCAAAATAATTAAATTTTAATGAAATTGGCAGCATCTAATTGACTGGAAAAATACTTCTTTTAAAAAATTGTGAAGTTTATATTCTTACAATAACTAAAATGTAATTAGCACATGTGGTATGCAAAGTTATCGAAGCAGGTTTAGTTGATAGAATTAAAAAAGGAACTTCGTGTTATAAATTTTCAATTCTTCAGTATCATGAATGGGAATTTCTTACACCTAAATTAAAATACGCAATTTAAGAAAAACATAATACAGTTTTCTAATGAAATATGATCCATACGATTTTTAAAAAATAGTTTATTTGCTGATTTTCAAATAAATTCCATATATGTAAAGTACTTGATATAATGTTGGGCATCACACATTCTCCCAGAAGATTTGCAAAAGGATGAAAATTTTCATATACCCTCGTGCAGAGCAGATTCTCATGGAATTACCATTCACCAAAGCAGTTTCTTAAACTATGAGTCGTAATCCCCAAGGGGGTCACGGGACCTTCGGCAGGGGGTCGCCAAACATTTTAGCTGTTTTGATATTTCTTTAACTTATTATATTAATTTAGCAATTACCAGAAATTTTAAATAATGTATCTGAAAATATATAAAGATATAAATATATAAAGATAAGACAATACAGACATAGAAAAAACGAAAACGTTTCGACTTTTTATAATATACAAGTGTCCACAGTATCACAGAATGCAATCAGTAGTTACGCTTCAAACTACTAAGAACGCTAAACACTACGTAATGTAAAGTGCATCTAAAGAGAAAGCTAATCCGGAAATATATCCGATCTCGCGCTAAACTAACAACTTGCAACAGCAACAAACACAACTGAAAGCAGATGCTGAACTCACGCTGAACTCGAAGCAGTAACAACAGCCATCTATCTAACTAAACAATTGAGAGCAGATGCTCTCTCTTTGGCTTTATATAGTTTTCACCGGCTGCAGATATATTTCTAGTACTTTCTGCTTCTCGAAATCACTGGATGGCAATATGAGGCTCGAGTTTCGATTACAGCTAATATAGTGATCAAGCAAATTTATTCGACTACAATACCTATTACAGTAATACAGGGACCGGACAGAACCAAAATGTTTGGCGACTTCGGCGATTTCTCGCCAAATTACCGAGATACCCATTTACTCAATCTTAAAAGCACTTACCCCTGTATTCTTACTTTTTTGGTATAGCTTGTTTCTCTTAGATGTTTCTTATGCTACACTACGCAGAAAAATACAACAATTTCACGAATAACTGCACTAAAATCATCTATCTATGTACAAAATTTGTAACAATATTATTGTCATTTCTTTCTTTCGATTTCCATTCGTAATTTATAGCTGCTAATTTTTTCTACGGTTATATTTTTGTTTTTTCATGTAGGAATTTTAATTATATTTACTTGCACAGAAAGTTTTTCTTTTCCTTTGATACTTGATTTTAATGGATTTACCTAATCTAACAGTTTACGAAGCTTATAAAGTATTTTAATTGACTTGTTAACGTTCAAACACATAATGATACTTCAGATTTAGACAGTGAAATAATTTACTTGAAAATCATGAATTACAAACGAAGCATTTTTTTTACAGCAACAAATAAACAACTTGGGATATGATATAATAAAGTAAATTACATATTTTTTCCCCCGAATACGTATGCTGGAACACGTTTTAGGCTTTCTACTTTCTTTTTGCTTACATAAGAAGTAGAGTATATTTTATATTTATGATATGAGAATACAGGCTTTATTTTATGTAAATTGTTTAATTATTTATTTATTCATATTAATCTATGTTATCAATATATTTTTTTTTTTTTTACATAGAACCGAATTTGAAAGCGATATTTAAACTTAGAACCTGGATTATAAAATTTTGTATGCTTTAGCAATAGCCCTTTTTATTCACTTTTCTTTTACAGCCAGATTTCATAAACGTGGTATAAGATTTTAACTAATGATAAAGTACTCTTTTTTTTTTTAATAATTTCAATGAAAGCGATGTTCAATAAATAAAGAAGGGGAATATGGGGCTTCATATCTCTAAGAAAATAATATTTTCATTTAGATCTAATTTTCGATCTAATTTTAGATCCAAAACTAAAAGCAAAAGTATTTGAGATGCTTTTCAGTTATATTAAACGTACTAAATCTTATTTAATACTAAACCTATTAAATCTTATTTAGTGCTTGTTTTGAGGTCGCTGGTTAGACTGTATACTATAGACAACTTTACAACAACAACCAATTTTATTTCGTGGACTGTAATATAATTAAAAATCTAAATCGAAAATGATAAATTCCCGACCATACGGGATCAAAACATGTATGCTACGTTAGGAGTTCGAATCTTAACTAACTGAAATTGCGCAGAAACAATGCGCTGTACATAACTTTGAAGTTGCGCAGAAACAATGCGCTGTACATAACTTTTATTGCCGCGTAGGAGGCAATATACCGCCCCACGTTGCAATATCTATGGTATGCAGAACTACTAAATCTAAGCATACAATGCAATATCAAATGCTCACAATTCTGCTATTAATTTTTTAGGCATTAACAAAAGACTTAACAAAAGTTAGTAAATCATTTACAGAATGAAATAGACAATTCAGAAAATTCGATAAAGGTTGAACATTTTTGCAAATTTTTTCAATAATTATGGTAAGTATATCAACATTTCAAACAGTAAAAATATTGATATTTTTCATCAAAATTACCAAAATATAAGTATAATAAAGAACAATTTATATTTTATTAACAATGAAACCTAATCCTTGAAGTTATCCTCAATAGACAATAAACAAATTTTTGATATTGGCCTTTTAATAGGAACAAACTTTGTGTTAATGACTGCTACTCGTATCTTATCATCTTTACCAGGAATTGTCTCATCAATTCTTCCTAGTAACCATTTAAATGGAGGTAACTGATCATCTTTAATAATAACCATTGTATTTTTCTTTATATTGTCTTTTGAAAAATACCATTTCTTTCGTTGTTGCAAGTGATTAAGATAGTCAGCTATCCATCGTTTCCATATAATCTGTATCATTTTAGTTAATTTTTGCCACCTTGACAATCTGCTTTCTGACAGATCTAAAATTTGAGGTTCTACAATTGAGTTTATGGTCTACCTATTAAAAAGTGACCTGGTGTCAACGGTTCGTAATCTGAAGGTTCAGACGATAAAGGAGAAAGAGGTCTCGAATTTAGTATTCCTTCAATTTGATCAATTACGGTTAAAAATTCTTCATAGGTTAGTTTAGCATCGGAAAGGTTCTTTAAGATGAAATTTGAAAGATTTGATTCCGGCCTCTCAAAATTACACCAAAATTGGGGGCACGAGGACGAATAAATTTCCAAGAGATATTTTCAGATGCCAAATACTTACCCAAAACTTCATCAGGAACAGTAACTAAAGAAGCAAGTTTCTTTAACTCTTTGTGAGCTTCCTACAAAATTAGTTGCATTGTCACTAAATAGACATGAACTCTTACCTCTACGCGAGGAAAATCATTTTAAACGTGCAATAAAGGCTTGAGATGTGAAGTCAAATACTATTTCCAAATGAATCGCTTTTGTAACTAAGCAGAACAAAGATTGCCATATAAACTTTATGCAAACTAACCTTTTTTTTGATTTCTATATTTGATTAGAAAAGGACCTGCAAAAATCTATCCCTGTGTTATGAAAGGTTCAGATTTGGATTTACACGTTCAGAAGGTAAATCGGCCATTAATTGATCTGAAATTCATTGATTGGCCATTAATTGATAGATTTATGAGGAAAACAAATTACAGCATTCGTGAACTGTTTTTCTAGCTACGTCCTTGCCACCATTGGGCCAAAACCTTTCCCTAACAAAATATATAACAATGCTTGAGGACTAGCATGAAAATTTTTCAAATGATAGTGAATAAATATTAGCTTAGTAAGCTTATGATGATTTTTGGCAATAAAATTTGATGTTTAGAATCATAATTAGTTGTGGCATGAGTTAAGCAACCGCCCACACGTAATAATCATTTTCCATCTAAAAATGGATTTAAAAGTTTTACCTGACTTTTGATTACTCTCTGATCTTGAAGTGATTTAACCTCCTCTGCAAATTCTATTATCTGAACCATTTTTATCAAGTGCATTTCCGCATCTTGAAATTCAGTACTACTAACGAGACCTGTTTTCTTCACTGGACCTTTCAGATTGGACAAAAACCTGAAAATAAGACTTAAAATTCTAATTAGTTTAACATAATTATTTGTTAATTCAGAAAAGGTATTCCAAAACAAGTTTAAATTGCAGTTCAAATTAACGTCTAAAGGCTTTTTAAGTTCATCCTGATAAGCAGGAAAATCTATGAGAGTCTTGTCAAGTTCAAATAAAGAAGCATCACTAAGTTCGTTCTGTTCAGGACCATTCCACCACAAGGAAGATGTCACAAGTTCATGAGGATAAGCACCACGAGAAATCAGATCTGCCGGATTATTTGCTGATGATACATGCTTCCAGTGTCGCGGGTCTACTAGTCTTTGGATTTTGGAGACTCTATTTGCAACAAAGGTCTTCAAAAGATGAGAAGTCTTCAACCATGACAGTGCTATCGTTGAATCAGTGCAGAGAATGATGTCATCTAAATGCATCTTCAATGAGGCGCTAACTTTCAAAATCAGATGAGCCAATAACAAACATGCACAAAGTTCCAATCTTGGAATAGATAAAGTTTTCAATGGAGCCACACGAGATTTGCTGGCTAGTAGATGAGATGACGAGCCGTGATCTTCATCGACACAAATTAAGTAGACAACTGCACCATAAGCGGCTTCCGAAGCATCTTCATATCCAATGAGTGAATTCTTGCTTGGATGATTTAAGAGGATGCAACGATTAATTTTTATGTTTTCCACAGTCTTTAAATTTGAAACTATCTGTTGCCATTCGTGAGCAATAGTTGCAAAAAGTGGTTCATCCCAACTCAGTTTTTGAACCCATAATTTCTGTAAAAATATCTTGGCTTTGGTGATTACCGGACCAATCAGTCCTAAAGGATCATAAAGTTTGGCAATTGTCGATAAAATGTCTCTTTTGGTATATGATGATTTCTCCTTGATTGAGACTTTAAAGCTGAATTCATCCTCCTGAGAAATCCATGTAATACCTAAAGCTTTAACCACATTTATCACATTTGGAGGAGAATAAAAGCTCAACGCTTGTAGAAGGGCTATCCAACAGTTCAGGAGAATTAGAGTTCCATTTGTGCAAAGTCATTCCACAACTACGAAAAAGCTGTATAAGCTGATTTTTCAATTCCCTTGCTGAGTCTAAGTTTGATGAACCAGAAATGACATCATCAACATAACAGTCTGAAAAGACAGCTTTGGCAGTTTCAGGATATTTATGCATTTCGTCATATTCAACTTGCGTTATGCATCTACTGGCTAAAAATGGAGCACTTTTAGTACCATAAGTCACCGTTTTGAGTCTATATGTCACAGGTGAGTCGCTAAGGTTTCTCTTCCATAGATTCGAAGTAAGTCTCTTTGGAATCATCAGCTAAAATTTGCCGGTACATTTTTTTTGTATATACACAATAACTGCAACTTGATGTTTTCTAAATCTCACAAGAATATCAAAAATATCTTCTTGGACTGCTGCCGCTAAAAGTAAATCATTCAAACTTAAGCCATTTGAGCTTGGGCCACTAGCATTAAACACAACTCTTAATTTGTACTTTGACTTCTCTGGTCTATATACTCCCTGATGGGGAAGGTAATATTCAAGTTCTGGTTTTGAATTATCATCGACCCTTTCCATATGGTCCAAATTTTCATATTCTGTTATGAAATCTTGATACAAATGTTGCAATGTAGCGTTTTTGCTAAGACGTTTAACTAATTGTTTGAGTTTAATATTGGCTAAATGCTTTGAATTTCCTAATTGTTCGTCTTTCATAGGCACTTTTATGATAAATCTACCATATTCATTTCGTCTATAAGTGTCTTTGAAATGTTGTTCATAGAATTCATCTTCTTGACTAAGAATTGACTTTTTTCACCAACATTTTCCACTAACCAAAATTGTTCTACCAATCTATCAATATTATCAAAATTACCGAGAAGTCCACAATAATTCTGGCAGTTTTCAAGGGATGTTTTCAAAGAACCAGTAGCTATATAACCAAACACAGAATTTCTGAAAACGAGTGATTTCGTAGAAGATTTAAATTGTCCATTAATAAAAATGTCATAAAATATTTCTGCTCGTAAAAGCAGATCTATGCTAGATGAAGTTACAAATTCTGGATCAGCGAAATTTGATGTATCAGGAATATCTATATTTCAGTTTTATAGAAGATACTAAATCTGTGATTTTATTTACAACTAAAAAATTTAATGAAGCAGAGAACGAATTATTTCCATTAAAAATAGAAACAAAAGTACGAGATTTAATGTTTGAAATTTGTCCATTTAAACTAGAAACAGAAATATTTATTCTTTCCTTTTTTAAATTTGCGTGCTCACAGAATTCATTTGTAGCAAAATTTGACTGTGATCCTGAATCAGGAACTGCTCTTACTTTAAGGAATTGGCCATAAATATTTCTAACCCAAACAATCGCAGTTGAAAGGAGAACAGTTTTATTTTTCAAAAAAAAAAAAAAAAAAAAAAAGACACGTGGATAAGGCTTTTTCTGTTGATTCATTGCTATTCAAAACAGCCTCATTTTTGCGGTTCTCTGGGGAGGGCGTAGTTTCACCAATGCTTTCCCTCACTTGCTAAAGACGACATGGATCCGTCATTCCGATGAAGAAGTGAATTATGTTTTGATTTGCAAACCGAGCAAAAGTGTCCAGACTGACAGGAAGCTACTTTATGATTTGACTGTAAACAATTAATGCACAAAGAAAGCTTTTTAATCATTCGTATCGTTCCATTGGATTAATGCTAGAAATGTTTCACATTTAAAATTGCGTGATTATCTTTGCAAACCGGGAACACATAAATTTATTATTATTATTCGTTTTTGTAACTAGCGATCGAACTTTATTCTGAGGAATGTTTTGATTTGGTTTCGCAAATACAGTTTTGGTTTGCCTATTTTCTAACATCTGGCATCGCTTTTGAAGACTGTAACAATGAAGAGATGAGAAATTGAAGAGATGTCATGAAAGAATCCCATTCACATAAATCATTACTATTTAATGACATTTCAAATTGCTTACGTGATTCTTTATCTATTTTATTGAGAATAATATTAATCAGCAAAGCTTCGCTTAATTTATCCATATTTAATTCCATAACTTTTAATGCTCTTAAATGTTTCTGAACTTTTCTGAACTTTAACTCAATTAATGAGCGTAAATCTTAAGGATTTTCATAAACTATTTTTTCAATTGAAAGTAATTCATAGATATGAGAATTTACAAACAGTCTCTTATTATCATATCTTCCTTCAAGTGCCTTAAATAAGGAAGAAAATGTATCATCTATTGTTTGTATCTGCTTTGCATTAACAATTAAACAAGATTGTAAATAAAACAATTTCTGAGAATCTGTTAATTGTGTATTAGATGAAATTAAAGCTACAAGTTGGTTTTTAAATCTATTCCTGTCTTCGAAATTATCAGAAAATTTAGGTAATGTTTTTTCAGGCAATTTATAATTCAATGAATTACTTCTTGTTTCTGAGATACTATTATTTGCATACTCATTATTTGCATTCTTACTACATAATGAAGTATAAAGACATTTCAGGCTTACCTCAACATTAGTAATATCCAACTCGATTTCTTCAAAAGTAGCTTCGATGTCTGATATTTCTTCATCTTTGCACACTTTGTAATAAATCCAAGCGAAGTTCATCAATTTGTTTACTTAACTTGTGCACTTTTTCTTGCAATACTTCTAGTTGTTCGAAACCAAAATCATCACTTTTTCCACTGACAGACGACTTTAATTTGGTTATTTGCGCTTTAATACCGCCACGTTTTCTGTTCAACGTAGTTATGTTTTCATTAGTCATTTTTTATTCTAATTAGCTGCGGCTCGACGGTGACCAATGTTTTGAGGTCGCTGGTTAGACTGTATACTATAGACAACTTTACAACAACAGCAACAACCAATTTTATTTCGTGGACTGTAACATAACTAAAAATCTAAATCGAAAATGATAAATTCCCGACCATACGGGATCAAAACATGTATGCTACGCTAGGAGTTCGAATCTTAACTAACTGAAATTGCGGAGAAACAATGCGCTGTACATAACTTTGAAGTTGCGCAGAAACAATACGCTGTAAACTTTTATTGCGTAGGAGGCAACAGTGCTAAACGTGTCAAAAAACAGGTCTTCAAAATTCCCAGAACATTTCATAAACGTTAGTTAATGATCATAAATGATATATAAACATGAAAATGTCAAGCATATATTAAGTGCACTATACCATTCCAGTTCTTTTCGTTTTCTAATATCTTTTTTTGCTATTACGAAATTTGACATTGAATAAAAAAGGCAGTCTTTTGACGTTTTAAGTTTATTGTGTTTAGGGATGGGCATTAGTTGTAATATCTCGTAGTTACATACGTTATGTAATTAGCCAGCAAGAATAAATTTCGAATAAACAAATGAATGAATGATAATCTTTGTTCAAATGAATGAATGATAATTCATTGTTTGAACGAAAATTTCTACACCAGCAAGAATGCATTTCGAATGAACACATTAATCGAATAATTTTAAGCCTATAATATAATATGCTACAAGACTTGCTGTTGCGGAAACGTTCATTTTACTTGCTTTGCACGTGAAGCTGTCATTTCGTCTGTTACTTATTTAAAATTTTCACATTGTTCTGTGTCTTAAAATTAGAAATTAAAGTTAATGACCTAAAACTGCAATAGTATGTTACAGTACAAGTGGAAAATTTTACAGTTTCACTCACGCGTGTGTCGGATTTGGTAATGCTTATGGGGTAAAAAGTTTATGAAGCCCTGCACCAAAGCATAAAATGTCTCATTTTCTTTTCAAAGCCTGTTTTTGATTAGCAGACTGAAAAATTTAAAAGGAATAACCGTAGTTCTTATTAAATTCTTAGTTTACTTTTTAAATCATGTATTTAATTGATATAAATTAAAATGCATTAAACTAATAATATATGCCGTTAATAATTGTTATGGAAATTTGCGTTTTTGCTGTAGTTAGCAGTAAAAAATATTTTTCATGTTATGTGGTTAGAAAAAGAGCCCTTTCAATATTTATGCTATTTCTCCTTCTTAAAAATGTTTAAATATTTAAAAAAAATTAAATAGCTTTTATTTTATATTCTTGCTTTAGGCTTAGGCTTCAGTTTGAAATCTTTAGACTGCAAATTTTCTTTGATTTTTATTGCATTTTCTTTTATCACTTTAAAATTACATATAAATTTAGCGAGATGAAATATTGTTTTACAAATATACTCTCAAAGCTCTTGGCTGGGAAAAATTTAATTTAGATACTTCACGTATCGGTATGTTTATAAATTTAAAATGATTCACCTGTCAATATGTAGAGGTCTACTCTACTTTAAGAGCTATTTTCATCCGGTCTTACATTTAAACTTTAACCTTAACCTGAGCTTATATTTATAGTATAGTATGTAAAGTGCAGCCTATACTTTAACTTTCCTCTGAGTCAGCATTTAAGTTATTGTAAATACAAAATCAGGTAAAAGTTTAAAATAAATCCTTTATATTTTCTCATCAATCTGACGGTTTCAGCAAATTTACAAAAGTGTAACAGAAGACAACCCCCGTAGCTTGCTGGAAAATCAGAACGAATGTACATAACAAATTAAAATGTTAAATGCAAAGTAACTTCTACTTTGTCTCTGACTGCAAGATTTCATGAAGCAAATGCGGCTTGTCCCTGATTGTTTTCGTTTTGCGATTTTGCGCTGGTTCACTATAAATGTCCCTTTCACTTTTCAAACTGTTGCCACCAAATATTATCGCTCCTGTATTATACATAAAGAAATTAAATAATGTTGAAAATCCGCATGAACGTATACATGTATATCTTTCATTGTGATAAAAAACGGTACATGAGCCATCGAAATTTGAATGACGTAATCGTACTGCGAATAATGTGCATCTGAAACCCAAAATTTGAAATTTGGAATTTGTTTCATTATCGGTTTCATATTTTGTAAACGTTAACGAATTTATTAACAAACTCAATTTTTGATTAATAAACTCAACTATTTAAAAGCGAGCAATGGCAACAGTCTACGCGGAAAAAACATTTTTATCTCCAGGGCGCTAGACTCTGTATCGGAAATTCTAAAGATGTGCTCAATTTAAAACTATTTTGCGATATTGCTTTTGAGCAGAATTTTATGGTTTAAGTGCGAAGAAAATGATATTTAATAAATAAAGGTAACAGACAAAATGTTATAGAAACGGCTCTTTGGGAGTAAATTAAAATTAAAATCTTTTAGGTTTTTTTTTTTCCTTTTACACACACGTTTCGAGAGCCCTTGGGCTAATGCCCTTTAGGCTAAAAATATTTGAAAACAGCATATCTTTAAATTTCCGATAGACAGTCTCGCTCGCTGGAGATAAAAAAAAAATTCGTACAGTGTTGCCACTGCTCGCTTTGAAATCATTAAATTTGGGAATAATATTTTACAAAATATGAAATAGACAAAAAAATGTTCAAATTTGGGTTTCTAGGTGCCCATATTGAGGAGAGCTACCTTATTCAAATTAGATGGTTCTAGTAACTTTGCTTTTTCCCCCATTGCGAGAAACATATACACATTCCTGTAGATTCTTCATTATTTAACTTCTTTAAATATAATACAGGGTGGTAACAGCTTGAAAACTGAAACGAACATTTATAGTGAACCTCCGAAAAATGGCGTTTTGAAACTAATAGCTCTTCTGGGCTGATGCTGCGTTAAGCTAATAATAACTGTAAGATTAAAAAAAAAAACTGCAGTCTGATCTTGGTATGAAGATTTAAGTCTAACGGCTGAAAAAGCTTTAAACTACGCAGTTACGATGCGCTTTTTAGTTTGGGAATTAATGCCTGGGAAATAGTGATTTACAACATCTTATATTAAAGTGAAATATTCAAAATGCAATTCCCGGCGAAGGCGTTGCTAATTTTCATCTTGGCTGCTTCCAAAAAATCGTAATGTCTCTACAAGTTATAGAACGAAATTTACAAAGGTACCAATTTATCGTAAATTAATTCTGCTTTTAAATTTCAGCATTTACTTTATAAAGAAAAGATTTGTTATTCAAGAAGTATCCGTGAATTTATTTCATAGTATTGCTTGCACATAAGGCTAGCGGCAAATACCTACAAGTGATTTCGTGTTTTGTTTCCTCAACACACGAAATCTATGAACTGAAAACAACAAATTGCATTTAAGATGTTCTTTTAAGGTTTTTAAAAATAACTTTTAACAATCTATTTAAAACTTTGATAGAATTCAACGATTGCTTTGTTAAGAGCTTTCCGTAATGCACAAAGTGCTGCCATAAAGTAAACGGATAATTTCTTAGAAATAAGAAAACGATTGCTAACCTTCAAATAAATTTATGTTATTCAAAACAATCGCCAGAGGAGTCTATACCCTTTTTTCAACGTTTCGTCAGGACATCGAAACACTGTTTGTAGATGCTGAGCCGTTCACAAATACGAGTGACATTCAAAGTTAACGGCCCTCTAACTTTGGTTCATTTTCAAAACCTTCGTACTCACATTTAAAGCGGTTATTCCCCTCATATGTGTGGTTATTCCCCTCATGTTCTTGGTTACGATGCATGACAATAATTCGAATCATCTCCAACATTTCTGTAGCAAATTTGACTAACTTGTAACAAAATTTAATGTGTAACCTTTCTCCATATCGAAGCAATTTTTTTGTACAATGTTTCCTTAGTAAATGAAAATGATTCGGATTATGCGAATGTAAACCAATTTAAAATGGCTTTAACAGGAGTTAAGATTTTACTCTTTCTAAAAGTACTTTTATCGTTTGATCTTTTAATTTATTCGGTTATTTATGTGCACATCTTGTAAATCTAAACGGGATAAAAATAATGGAAGTAGTCGCGCAGTATTCGTTGGAATTTCGACTATATGTGTTTCATATATAATTTGTACATGGGTTACTATTGCAGATGAAATTTAGTTTTATGGGCATAAAAATCAGGTATTTTACTAGCTTAGAGAGACAATTTTAAAAATCAGTTGCGTCTGGAAAAAGAGCACAATGTTTCGTGATTTATTAAAATTATCTGTACTCAGTGCAACTATTTAGCTCATGCTGATTAGAAATCGCTCTAAAATCCAAAGGCCAAGAACATGCCCTTGAAAATTTTTCTCACACTAAATAGCGCGTATAGAAAATGCATTTAAGGAAAAGTGACCAATATTGCTTTCAAAGTAGATAAAGTAATTTTGTTTCGAAGAATAACAAAAGAGAAACAGCGGGACAGTTCTGTCTGTGATATCTCGATTCTCCACTTGAGTAAGTTCAGAGGCATCGACAAAAGAATCAAGCTTGCGATGAGAAAACGCTCTCTCACGACGTTTGATGATAATCTCTGCAATCATTGTCAACAATTCTTTATCCGGGACTTTTGTAAGGACTTACAACTCAGAACACTGCTGCATGAATACATTTTTTATAACGAATTTATGTACACGGGCGGTCATTTGGGTCAGCGAGAAATGTCCGTGCATTAACGACTTTTAGCTTTCTTTTTGTCTTGGGTACATTGTGAGCACAAGGATGTTATACAAATTATGTTCCTTATCTGAGAAATGAAAATAATTAGATCGTTTATTTACTGAAGAAACTGTTTCTTTGTCAATTTAGAAATTCACGCTTTCGTTGCTTTTCGGAGATAGTAATGGCAGAAAAAGCAATTCACAGAAGAATGAATCCAACTGAAAATATCTAGTCTGGAACTCCACTTCAAGATTGTATATAAATATGAAATCATGTCTTGCCAGAACATCACTTGCACAGCTGGTTCTTAACAGCTTGGAAATCTCGATACCTTGGGGCAATTGGATACCTACACCCTTAATCTTCAGGTGAGAAAAATTTGAATGTTTTAGGTAACAGTGAAGTTTGTACAAAATATTTCTCAGATCTTACGAGCTCCTGCAGATTTAGATAAAGAAAAAGTTCCCATTGGATATTTTCAATAAACCTTCGAATGCAGAATAATCAAACAAGACAAAATAATCAAGGGCGATAAATTATGTTATTTTCTGATTTACATGATTTAATTCTCTTCGAATTGCACTGCGTTGTTATTTTGTTGAAAGCTTGAATGTCGATGTAAAATATAAAGTAAGGTAATGCGAAGTCTTTTGGTTATATTACTGAAATGAGTAGTTCAAAAAATAATTTTAGCTATTAATTTAGTAGTAGAGATTTTTGGAAATTATTTAAAGGGAAAAATTAAGAAATTGTGCTTTCAATACATTTGTCTAATTATACTACCAACTGATGGGAGAATTCTGTTTAACTATTTTGTTACAATTCATTATTTCATGTGACTAAAATTAACACTAAGCGCAATAGTCGAAACGATGTTAACATTCTCAGCGCTGAAATTTATATATTTGCTACATCAAGGACTCAAAAATAGTTAGTTTTTTAATTACAAAGAGTTTTTGAAAAGTAACGTAAAGAAAAGTCATTTTTCTAATACTTTGATCCTATTTCAATAAACGTTAACTTTATTTTAGTGAAATAATAATATTTATTAATCAAATTAATATTTTTATTTTGATGTTTTGCATAATAATAATGCTGTAAGTGACTTTAAACAAAAAATATTAATTTTCTGTAAAAATACTTTAAAAGTATAACAGTTGGCATAAGTATTTGTACTGTTCCATGAGTCAATGTAGTGTATTTAGGAAAGCAAATTGGTAATAAAAGGGCATGATGTTTAGGAAAGCAAATTGGTAATAAAAGGGGATGATGCTTTAAAGTTTAAATAAGGACATTTCTAAAATTGTAAATTATTTTTATTGTCTGTAAACTTTAAACTTTTGTTGTAATTATTAACTTATTTTAATGTACTTAAATTTACATATGATATTTGTAGCTAATAATACACACAGAATTGCTTACTAGTTTTTGAGCCATTACCTGTAAACTGGGCTTTTGTAAAATAATATAAATACATAAAATAGACGATAATTTTAATTCGGCAACTCATTTAAGTTTTTAAAGAATTGTAACAGTGCTACTTATGCACTTGCAAATTTTTCTTCATTGAATGTGTCTTTGTGGTGAGAGAAATGAGTCGTATTTCGCCACTATTTAAAATATACCTTCTGCCACTTGTAAAGTAATTTAGTCATTAAACAGTATGTTGATTGTTTTAAAACTTAAAGGCTATACATAATTAATTTTATAAACTGGTCATGAATAATGATTTTTGTAATTATTTTCAGAAATTATGAAGCAGTATTTGGAGAAAACAATTGCTTACGCATCGCTTCAAAGAAATCTTTCTCTCAAAGTTTAATTAATAGTTTAAATAATCCTGCGATTATCTTTATGCTTTAATTTCCTTTAAATAATACTCTTCTACCAATTCTATAACAAAGTTTAAATGCATTTAATGTATTATAGTTATCGTAATTTTTTAATTAAAACTTTATTTAGTTGCTGTTAAAATGAAAATAGGTATTTTCGTCAATTTAAGACAGGAAGCATATGTATCTATCTGAGTAGATAATTGATTATTTATCTGCAATATACATTGGACCTATGAATACTCCTATGTACATCCAATCAACTTGGAAAATATAAAAATTTATAAGTATTGTGTATGATAAAGTTTAATATTTTCAAGTTGACTTTTTCCTTATCAATGCCTTTTAAACTTACATTATGATTTTTTTAATTGTAGCGTTTATAAAACTGATCGCTCTCATCCTTCCATATTTGCTTTCGTTATCACGATTTAGATTTGCAAGTATGGAATTGTTAATCTTCGTGTGATGGTTTTAATTATTACGTTGAATGCTGGGCACTTCTTCAGAACTGTGTTGTCTTTTTAACAGATTTATTTTCCTATAAGCTATAAAGATTAATATTTGCTATAAACCGAAAACAGTTTTATTATACAAAACTAAGTATTTTATAACGTTGTAATTAACAAAAATTTAGCAAGCTGGTCAATGAGGGCTGAAGCTGATTTCGAGAATTGAATCGCAAAGCAACTTGTTATATTGCAGAATATTGTGGCCTCAACAATTAAGTCACTACCGATCCATGTCAGAAGATTCAGTCCATAAACGTCCAAAAAGATTTTACAAATTCGCTGCTTCAAAATTTTTAACTTACATATGCACGTACATCTGTGTACAATATCTTGATAGATTTCGTTTCGCGGTCGTTTCTTATTCTAATATAGTATTTAGTATCGTCCTTCTAATATTCTCTTTTCTAAGATACAATAACACGCCGAACAAATATTAATTTTAGAAGTCAAACAACAAAAATCAGCGTTATATTTTCATATTTTCACAGGACTAGTTTCGATGGTTTTACGGAAAATCATCCTCACGTGCAAAAGTGCAAATGAACGAGATAAGATATAATTATTAGATAAGATCATAGATATTTTGTATTCTAATTATGATGATGGTATTATCCAATCATTATATCTTATCTCGTTCATTTGCGCTTTTGCAGCTGAAGATGATGGTTCGGTAAAACCATCGAAACTAGTCCTGTGAAAATTTGAAAATATATAACGCTGATTTTTGTTGTTTGACTTCTAAATTTTCATTTCTCTTTATTCAGTTCTGTATTTGCTTTTACACACTGACATAAAAGCAAATTAATCATATATTTTTAACTCCTCATATCAGTCATGCAGATGTCGTATTTTTATACGGTTACCGTATTTTTTAATATAAAATATTGCGGGTCACTTTCTGTCTTAGTAAAAAATTCAATATACAAATTAAATAATTACAACTTATTCTATTTCAAACTATACTATGGTAATCATTAAACGTAATTGTACTGTAAAAATGCATAAACGCTATTACTTAAAAAAAACTGACTCTTTGTTGTTAATAAATGTTCATAATTTTAGTAACTGTAGGCAGTTTAACAAAGAAAAAACCCAAAGTCTGCAGGAAAATATCATGGTTACTGAAAGAAGCAGAAAGCAGCAAATAAGAAGTTAGGAATGTTTATAATTTAAAGGTTTAATCTAGTTCCTTCAATAAGTATTTTGTGCTTATGTATAAAAATTTGTCAGCTTGAAAGCCTGTCAGCTACTCAATCAAACAAATTTAATGCTATAAAACATGTTTAATTTGTAATAAAAAGTACTAAAAACTATTTTATGTAATCAAAACGATGTATCATGATCAATGTTCTATAATTAAAAATTACTCATTTCTGAATTTAACTGGTAATAAATGGATGTAAAAAACAAACTTTTCTTTCAGTCATGCAGTCCCTTTGCATTCTAATTCTGATGATGGTGGCAATGGCACCGTTTTCTGATGCCCACCAAAGACCCAGTACATTCTCAGGAGAAAGCCAAAGACCAAAAATTGTTTCGGATACCCACAGAGCCAATGTAACAGCAAAAACGTCCCCAAGTAATAAAGTTACAGCAAAATCAGCGCGGAGCGATTACCCGCACCATGGTTATGAGCACCATTATCCTCACCATTACGGACATCTAGGAGGATTTGGTCACTACAAGGATTTGGACCATTACCTCCTGCCTGTACTGATGGTTTTGGGATTAGGAGCCCTACTTATGCCTCTTCTAAGTGTTCTCATGACGACCATGGTTGGTAACGTACCAGTAACCACTTTGGTATCAGGACGCAAAAAGAGAGAAGCATCACATGTTAAGAAGATAGAGGAGACTATTCAAGAAATTTGGAAGAAAGTTGGACGAGCTATTGAAGTATTTAACCAGTAAGAAGAAACTTAAAGAACAATATTAGAACCTCAGAGGGTTGGCTTTTTGTGATATCAGCATACAGTGCAGTTAAAAAAGAGTTATATCAAAGGATTCTTTTCATGATGTTAATATAACGATTAACATCTATTTATAGATTTTAATTACATCAGCCTTTCTGTTATTTTCGATTAATGTAAATCTCTGCGTCTTTAGTTTTAGTTACTATACTAAGTCGATTAACACTCGGAAAACATTCCCTAGCTTAGGCACTATTAAATGTAATTTATGTATACAGTAGTTTTAGAAGTTTCTGAAGAAGGAGGCGGCTCATTATATTGAATAATTTTAGAAATTACATGTACAGTTTTAGGATAACGTATATGTATATTATGTATCGAAACGTTTGATGGTTTTTAGTTGCAAAAAAATAGGGTCTTTATATTTTTGATGAACTGTTGATATTTAAAATTGTATTTAACATTTTTCATTTTTGTTCCATGTACATTATAATTTTAAGCACTTGAATGCATTCTTAAAGAATATAATGCTATTTTAATTGTGACATAGAATTTTTATTCTGATTGGAAGAAGGATTTGAGATTTTACGTGTTATTTAAAACATTTTCACTATTATTTTTAAGAATTTTCATTCTGATTGAAAGAAGGATTTGAGATTTTACCCGTTATTTAAAATGTTTTCACTATGATTATTACTTCTAGTGGAGATGCATATATCCCACTGATAGTAAAAAAAGTTAAATATTTAAAAAAACTTGTCATAATGATTTAAATTTAAAAAGCAATTATTTAGAAATTTAAAAAAGATGGCTTTTGTTTTAATTCATAATAACTCATTAGGTTTTTAGCCCAAATTGGTAGGATTTTGCTTTGAATCATTATAAAAGTCTAAATCCCTTTTCAAATTGTTGCTACCAAATATTATCCTTTTATATTATATTTCCAGAAATTAAATAAGGAAAAATGTATATGAATATATGTAAGCTTCTCGCATTGTGAAAAAAAAACGGTACCTACAGCCATCAAATTTTGAATAATGTAGTCCTCTACCCGATACATGCGATACATGCACATCAATTTTAAATTTCGAATTTGTTTTATTATCTATTTCATGTTTCGTAAAATTTTAACAAATTTTTATTTAACTAACTCAACGATTTCAAAATGAGCAGTGGCTACACTGTACGGAATAAAACATTTTTATCTCCACCACGCAAGTCTGTATATTATAAATTCTAAAGATATGCAGTTTTTAAATATTTTGTGAGTTTGCTGTTGAATTGAATTTTATGTGGCGTAAGAGCTAAGAACATGACTTTTAATAAATAAAGTCAAGCCACAAACGTTAATAATAAAAAGACAAAAAAATTTTGTAACCCATCTTGATAAGAAAACTGGACATTGATATTTTGAACTGATCTTAAAGATTGGAAAAAAAATAGAAATATCTATGTCAGCCCTTAACTCCGCATCCAGAATTCTAAACATAAGCTGTGCTGATTTTAAAATTTTTGTATTATTGCTGTGTGATTGTATATGACATAAGTACGCAGAAAATGATGCTTAAAATAAAAGCTAAAATGACACACACACACACACACAAAAAGGAAAGGTCAGTAGGAGTGAGTGCAATAGCGACTGGTAGATGAGCTCAAGGAGAACCATAAAATCCTTAACAAAAAATTTTTGGGCTACCGTTAAAATCTGAAACCTTTTAGATTTTTTTTTTTTTTTTTGGTTCTTCATAATTTTATCGAAGAAATTTTTTTATCGCTTTTTACCAGAGTTTTACTGAGTGGCTATTGCCGTTGCGATGCTAAATCAAAGAAAGTCTTTAGAGTGCCGAAGAAACAATACGCAAGAAATTTTTCGATTCAAGTAGTTCTACAATAAGCGAAAATAGTAAAGTATAAAGTAACACGCAATTTATTTGCTATACAATATAAACTGACATTATCTTCTTGCAAGCAAATAGAGTTTAAACTCTGTTTATTTATTGCATATGTAAGTTATTGTATATTTGTGTGTTGTTATATATTTTCAGGGATATGCAAAGAAATATTTCCAACATTGAAATTTTCACGAGTTTTGTATTTAAATTTGAATAGTTGCACAACAGTGTATTTGTTTTTAGTATTTACAAATGTGATTTTGATGGCACATACTTCAAAGAGCTGGTCTCAAAAGTGTATGAACAAGAATCTGAATAAATTTCGAATTTATATTTTGTGCAAACTCTCTATAAATCTAGCGCTGGCGCTAGCTTCTACAATGCAATAAAATGTTTTTTTGAAATGTTGCCTACGTTTCATTAAAGCACTCTTGAAAAAAGAAATTAATTTTTTTAATTGACACATATTTATTATGTCACACATTTTACACGTCACACTTCTTTTATTAAATTCTATACAAACAAACTTGACAACTTAATATTTGTAGAAATTCATAGTTTAATATTATTCATGTCATACCTTAAATTTCAATTAATACTAGTTCATCCTAGTAACAATCAAATTTATCATAGTAACTTAAAAAATTATTTTTCATGTAGTCCACATGAGAATTTGAATATTCTCAATGATATATTTGAGCAAATGATTAATAATTATGTAAAAAATTACTGAAACAAAAGTTTTAATAATAAATCGAAGGACTTTTCTGAATGAAATTATTTTGATTTATCGATGACTAATAACGTATTAAATAGCAAGTACATACTTCTGATACAAAGTCTGATTGCAAAATATATATTTCCTTCTTACGGAGGAAGGATTAATGACATGTGTGAATAAAATATTTTCTGGAAGTAATTTTGGGTTGCATCTCCTTTGTACGTAATGCATTCACGAAGGCTTTGGTTTTTAAAAAGTCAATAGAGAACGAACTTTTAACTCCCCTTCTTTGCAGCCTTCGTTTTGCGTTCTTATTAGCTCTTTAAGTTTATCTTGACTTATTTTTTTGCTGACATTACAAATTATCAAAAGCTTTTACGGATACTTTGGCTCCATCAGATCTTTTAGCTTGCGACTCTCTTTGATGGCTTCCTCTAGGATATCCAAGTAATTTTTCTTTTACCTCCATTAGAGGCATACTTTGCTAATTTTCTTGACGTTTTTACGCCTATCTTTAGCTTCTGTGGATGTATGGACTTAAACAGTTTAAGTTCTTCTGAACTGACCTTTTTTCTTTGGATATACTAGTAAGACGTCCTGTGTCCCGGGCTCTTGACTGTGGACGCCTCGACGTTGATCTTTGAACGCGACTTCGTTATTTCGGCATAAGTTTTACTTTCCCTAATTAATAGTCCTCTACATAATCCTGTAGATGTTGCGTTTGCTCCACCTGCCCGTCTAGACGTGAGAGCTTAATATTTTGCCTCGTAGATAAGTTAAGTGAAACTGAACTTAGCCTAAATAAGCTTCTCTTTTACTTATTCTAATTTTCCTCAGTCTACATTTATTTATTTGACCAAAATCTTGAATTCCATCAATAAAACGCATAAAAGAGATGACATTTAACTGCAATTTACAATAATGCATAGTTTTTAAAAGTGTTTAGATTTGGAAACAGAAATTAAAATATAGTTTTTAGAAGGCGTAGGGACTACGATGAAAACTCACATCTTGCATCTATTTAAAAATGGCTAAAATTATGTCTATTATATTTCCTCACTAATTTCATTCTCTGTTACAGAATACATAAAAAGGATATTGATGAAAACAATATTTAAATATGAATGATTAACTGAATGAGTAGATATTATTCTAATGAAATTTATTCTCGTCTCGTTTTTACATTTGTAATTGCTCGGTGTTTTAATGGCTGAAAACAATAATAAATATTATTAATAAATAGGAGTAAAGGAGAATAAGTTTGTGAGTTCATGAGTTTTGTGAGTTTGTTTAATTGTTATTAAAATTTACATATAACCAAACATTTGGAAAATGATTAAATGATTTTTTATATCATTCTCAAGTAAAAACTTGAGAATGGTATAAAAAATTCTCAAGTAAAACGATTTTAGTATTCTCTATTCTCAAGTAAAACAATTTTAGTATTTTAATAATTTCAATTCTATCATTTGTTTCTGAATTTGAAAGTAATCGTTTTTCTTTTATACTGATATGTTGCTTACAACCAATAGTATCTAATAAAACTCTAGAAACAGTATGACGAAGATAAAATTAAAATGGAGAAAGGCGAGCTCTAAGGATATTAATATTAATTGAGAAAATATTATCAAATTGAAAATTCGGCAATACTAAAGATGGTTTGATTGTTTTTGATGAAATTAAACCTCAGACTTCAGATATTTAAAAATATTTATTGAAAATTTATTTAATTAATCGCGTATATTAGAGATTTAGTTAATCACAGGCATATTTCAACAGTTGTCTGATCTAAATGCTATTAAGCCGACCACAGAGATGATCAGGCACTTATAAAGTAACTAAAGAACTTTTTAAACGTTTTTATTGTAGTAGCTCATTTTATGAATTATCATTTGCAAGTTAGAAAATTAAAAATCAAATCCAAAGAAATACCAGAATTGTTTCTAAATAATATAATTGCGAAGTACGGATTATAAACTTTTAAGGGTACGCCTCATTCAATTTTGAATATTTCTGATATTCATATTTCATTTTTCTTATGTTTAAGTTTTATCTTCCTTGCGTAAGTATGAAACTTTTCTGTAGAAAAATCAGAAGAAATTTTTGCTTCGAGCTGGATTCAATTTTAATCTACTGCTTCGCATATTAATTGTATTATTAAGCCATTGAGATGTTTATTCCATGTCATTTATTTCATATTTACTGTAACATGTTTATTTTGCTGTTCAAACTCATGATTGGATTTCTTCAACTTGACTTTCGAGAGAACTCATACGCTGATATTTGATATTAACGAGAAAATTTCTCTAAATCTTTAGCACTCGGAGAGAAGATCTAAAGTAATCTTTCATATCAACAACAGGACGTTTTCAAATCTTTAATAATCGAGAATTCTATACAGATATTTTATATTAGTAGGAGGAGCTTTTGTACTTTGTTTTGCTTTTCACGGTTTGCATGAAAATCCGCCAAATTATATAAACTGCGTGATATCGCAGTTTATATAATTTGCGTTGTTGATATAATTTGTTTATATAATTTTCGTTTTATATAAACTGCTTCATATCGTAAGTCCTTTCTGTTTTTTCAGTTCATTATATTTTCCAAATTTAACGAACCGAGTGATATAATACCAGGCTTTTTTCGGTTCCAACATTTATGTAAATTCGTGTGATACTTCTGGTGCACGCAGTGCACGAGGATTTCTTTTTCTTTAAATAAATAAAAAAAATATGTTAAAAACGGTATTTATAAATTTCATTTGTCGAATTTGATTAACAGCGTAATATCTCAGTAGTCATTTTTCAATTTAAACATTGTAAAAAAACGCATTGTGGCAAATTTAAATTTATCGAAGGAGCGAGGAAGATGCCTTACGGTTTTTCCAAGCAAAAGATATATTACCTCGCAATGGAATATGCGTAAATGCCTACTAAATGAATTTACGTGTAAACGAAAGTATGTGCAAAGTTGAAAAGTCGGCTGAAAAATATGTGAAGGGGAAAAATTGCAACCAAAAAAAGAGCATTCCAAGTTCCAAGTACCGCTGGATGCGCCGCTGATTAACTTGCAGGATTTGCAAGATTTGTTCCGGCTGTCTGAGTTAGTTGCTATAGAGCGCTGAAAGTAGGAGAATACATGAGTGAGACCTAAGTCAGGATTGCAGATGTTGAGAGGGCGTGACTACCTTGTCACGTGAGGTGTGAAGAAGTCGTTAATACGTTGCGAGATTTCAGGTTAGAAATGCTGAAGAAAACCTTAAATGTACAAATTTGCAGAAATAATTACATAAAAGGGAAATTTTTCTAGTAATCATCAGAGTAAACAACATATGGAATAAACCAAATTTCATCACATAATACAGTCTAGCAGTCCTGTAAGTTGAAATTCTGAGTCCATGATAACGTGATGGGGGTGGGGGTGGTGTGTAAACAGAATCATGGTTTCATTATAAACAGTCGAAGATGCTTCAGGAAAGCAATAATTTTAGTAAGAGTTACAAAATAACAAAATAAATGCAGAAAAAATGTTAACACAAAATACATTATTACAAATTCAAAATGTCTATTCCAGAGTATATTA